CTGTCCACAACCTCAAACAGTCACACTCCAAACTCCACTATGGCCATGACCAAAGAGCTGTTGAAGGGCACCAGAAACAAAATTGTAGATGTGCATCAGGCTGGGAAGACTGAATCTGCAATAGGCAAGCAGCTTGGTGTGAAGAAATCAACTGTGGGAGCAATAATTAGAAAATGGAAGACATACAAGACCACTGATAATCTCCCTTGATCTGCGGCTCCATGCAAGATCTCACCCTGTGGGGTTTTTAAAGAATTTATTTGCACCCCACAGGGTGAGATCTTGCATGGAGCCGCAGATCAAGGGAGATTATCAGTGGTCTTGTATGTCTTCCCCACAGGGTGAGATCTTGCATGGAGCCGCAGATCAAGGGAGATTATCAGTGGTCTTGTATGTCTTCCCCACAGGGTGAGATCTTGCATGGAGCCGCAGATCAAGGGAGATTATCAGTGGTCTTGTATGTCTTCCCCACAGGGTGAGATCTTGCATGGAGCCGCAGATCAAGGGAGATTATCAGTGGTCTTGTATGTCTTTGATTTTCTGGATTTTTTTTCTCATTTTGTCTCTCATAGTTGAGGTATACCTATGATGAAAATTACAGGCCTCTCTCATCTTTTTAAGTGGGAGAACTTGCACAATTGGTGGCTGACTAAATACTTTTTTGCCCCACTGTATGATATCTGTAGCCAGTATAGAGTAGCAATTAAAAAGTTAGACCACAATGAGGGGAAGTCAGGTTGATCCCTCAGACTGACTGAGATCTCTTCTCAGCCAGCCTTCTGCCTAGAGTTGTGGTTGTGAAGACAAAATGAGTGGAGATCCCAGGAGGCTTCTTTGAGGATAGGCAGAATCTAAAGCCAAGCTTAACTAAGATTAATTCGAAATCATATCTGCATGATAAAATATTTATTGCTTATTAATTATAACAAGAACTTTAACTGCATATTGGGTTGACTAACACAAGCTTTTCATCTCTTACATCTCTTCTTTATTCTGAGCAATAGGGCTTCACAATTCAGCACTATATTTAATCTCACTCGGAGTGCCTTGTTCCTCATTTTTTTTAATGTACGAGGTCTGTAAAATTCACTGGAAGTTTACGTGTGTCTGTGGCTTTCCTTAATGCAATCACTGTACTGACTTATTTCTATCTCACAATTGATCATTATTGTCTATTAAATGTTTTTAGCTGTCCTTCAGTTAGTATTTCATAACAGGCTTTCCTATCTTCCTTCAAAGGAGCTGCATTAGCAGATTCTCACTTGCCTTCTGAGCAACCCTGCTAAAGTTATAGCAACTCCAGTAAAGCTAAATCAGTTATAATACATGACAAGGCTGATGCTAAAAACTGCTAAGGAACTGCAGCCAGTTCAGAATTCAGCTGCCTGGCTGTTAGTATGATAAGGTTCTGGGAATATACTGTACATTGCCAGAATCAAAGAAATATCATTAACTTCTTCTCTGTTTGTAAGCACAGCTGAAAGGCTGTGGTGTACCTCTAAAGATCTGCACTGCTTAGCTCCAAGAACTTGAAGAAACTTCTGTTCTCAACCCATCTGCTAAAGTATTAACTTCATCGTTACATGGTGAAGCCAACAGCAATCAAAAAAGGTCATCTCATTAGAGAGGGTTCTACCTACAGAACCCATCCTTTCCATCAGAGAAGCCTGGCGTACACCTTTTGATTCTGGGCAACAATCTTTCAGTGGTCTCATACAGTTACAGGGACCATACATCCTGTATTATAAAGGACAGTCCATTATTTCAGAAAGCTGTCCTTTAGATATATTTATTTTTCAAAAACTCACTTTTGTCCTTTATTTGGGTTATTTAATTTTTACCATACAAATGGTACCACTTCATGCATAGTCTTTCACATTCCTGTGAAAAATATGGAAATTGAATTGTCTTTTTTGAATAAATTTGCATATACTGTTTGATTTTAGATATTTTTATTAGAATATGCATTTTTGTAAAGTTTTCCTTGGTTTTGCTCTTGAATTTTCATTTGTAAAGCAAAGTTATAAACATACACAATTAAAATTTTGTATCCTTATGAACCTCTTTCAGATTTGCCCCTTTTGTAGGATTTTCCTAAATATGGTCACCATACATACCTTTATACGTATACGTGGTCTGTATTTCATAGTGAGGACAGAATTTATTACAAGAAGGTGTTGAATTGCATCTTCCCATACCCTGCTTTCTCTTTGTATAATAATTTATAAGTGTTCTGGATGACATAAAGGCTCAGTTTAAAAGAATCTGCAAGTTAAAGAAACAAAATCTCCTGGTTCCAATGGGTTTCTTCTTCAGTAGAAGCGATGGAGACTGTAGCAGATTTTCTCATGGGCATGCAGTATAATTATCAGGCTAGTCATACAATAAGTTATATATGAATAAGGATGATAAATCACAATGTAAGTATAGTATTTACATATGAAAGGATTGGTACTGTGGTATTCATGTTCAATTATAACCTGCTTTATTTTGGTGTTGCAAAAGACATTAAATTTAGGATTTCACATTCTTGAAGCAAAAAACATTGACCCCATCTTTTGCTTTTTGTATTACAGATGTTTTGGTGGAGGGAAAACTCTGTGACTCAGATATAGTAGCGGATTGCACAGTTGGAGACCCTGTGAAGCTGGAAGTGAAACTGACCAATTGGAGCAAACACAGTGTAGGACCCTTCTCTCTCACTGTGATCCCATACCAAGATTATCAAAATGGTGTCCACAATTATGATCTCCAAGATGGCATAACTTTTGTGGGATCCAACACCTTTTATATTGATACAGTAAGTCACGTTTGATCATATTTAGTCTGGCTCCAAGTAGAAAGTTAAAGAGAGGAGCATCAGTGGCATTTTGTGCCATTTTATTCAACGTTTTCTGTGAAAGTACTTTGGAATTCCTCACCTATCACATGTTAAAAAAAAAGAAGAAGCATAGATTTGTTTGTTTACTTGCTTCCTTTGCTTTGCTTGCTTACTTACATTAATTTTTTTTAATTTATACTCCACTTTGTATTTATTCCAACACCTAGAATGTCTTACGACAATAAAAAATATAAAGTGTAAAAGAAAAAATCAGTACAATTAAATCAGTCATTAAAATAGACTTCAGCTCCAGGTAGAGCCACTTTTTGATCGTGTGTTCCAGAGTTGGTGCCGAGGGAGAGATTCCGGCTCATATTTAACCTCTTTTTAAGAATATTATCACCTTTTCATGTCTACCTTACAGTTTTAGTTCTGTTCCCTTGTTTGGTTAACTATGGCTTTGCATTAAATGAATGTCTAATGAGATAAAAGATAAGTAAAAATTGAAAAGAGATACTCTTCCTTGCTGCAGATTGCCCAAAGTTTATCCTCATAAATTTTCCTTCCTCCCCAAACTACTGGGATGTTCTGTCAACCCTCCTTTCAACCAAAATTGGAGGATGATGAGGAAAGGAAGAAGATCAAGGAAACAGCTGAAATATTCTAAGAATGGGTTGGTTTGGCTGCTCTTTATTGTCTGACTAAATATATCCAAATAATAGCCAATATTCATTTAAATCCTCCTTTGGCAGAATGAGTCTTGTAGTCCTTTCAAACTACTTACTGTAGAAAAAAAGATGATTGAGGCAGAACACGATTGGGGGGTACACAGTATGGGCAAGCAGATGGAGAGAAAGATGTCTCTCTCCCTTGTAACACAGGGTCGCACAATGAAACTGGTTTGGTTATATGGTAGGCAAAAATGAGAATGCTTTTGGGAAGTAACAGTGTTCACAGAACCACAGAATGCGATAGCCATTGACTTGATTGATTATTTGCCATCATCAAGTTGATGTCAATTCTTAGTGACCGCATACATAGACCTTCTCCAAGATGATCTGATTCCAACCTGGCCTTTCAGATCTTTCAACGGTGTACCCTTTGTCACTGCAATCAAGTCCACCATCTATCTGCTGGTTGTCCTGTTCTTTTTCCTTCTACCTTTTCTAGCATTATGGACTTGTCAAGAGAGCTAGATCTTCACATAATGTGTACAAAATATGATAAGTTGAGCCTGATCATTTGTGCCTCGAATGAGAACTCTGGATTGATTTGTTCTGTGATGCATTTGTCTGGGGTTTTTTTGTTTTTGTTTTGTTTGTGTGTGTGTTTTGCGGGGAGCTATCTATAGTATTCTCAAGAGTTTTCTCCAGCACCAAAGTTCAAAAGCATCAATGCTCTTTCTATCT